GGGAGGGGGTGGGGGGTGGGGGATCGGGAACACCCTCAACCATGAAGGCACAGCTGAATGCACTGTCTAACTTTGTGTGTCTCGCTCTCTCTCTGCAGTGGCACCCGATGCTATCCATCACCATGTCAAGACGTGCCGAGATAACATGAAGAATATGCATTTCATTGCCCCTGAGTATGGAGGTAAGTGTGGAAGAAGCATACAGTTTGTGCCATGCCCTGAAACACGTTCCGCATGAATTTTTAAGTTGCTTGATGCAAAATGCAGAGTTGTTGTTTTGATGAGTATTGTCTTATAATAGTGGGAATTTTGAATCAAGTTTCATTGCATGTTCTGTTTATTCATTTCTGATCATCCTGCCCTTTCCAGTATCATTGCATGATGCAGAAACATTCAGTTCCGTGCCTGGGCCCATCCTCATTTCCCTTCCACTCTTTGCTGTGTAGGTTTGTAATGTCTCGCTGCCCTTGATTGCTTGTGCTGTTGCGTAGCTCAGGCAGTTCGCCTGCTTCCCACCATGGTCGCCTGCATTTGATCCCAGTTCAGGTTGCATAGGATTTGTGGTGTACAAAGTGAGAGGCAGGTTTTCTCTGAATACTTTGATATCATCCTGTCATCTGATACTGTATTGCTCTCAATACTGACAGTGTCAGCAAGTAATCAGCTGAAATAAACTGATCGCATTGCTTGTTCCATTTCATCTGTCCTCTGTGTGTTCTTAGTAAGTACAATGTACCATACTGTGGCAGTTCCGGAGTGTTCGTTTCATTTTGGTTAGTCATGTGGAAAACTGTAAGAAGTGATCTGTATCCTAACATCTTGTTGCATGTCACTTATTTATTCCTGTTAGTCTCACATGCAACTTGCTTTTTATAAAACCTTTAAAGTTTTAAACTTCAAAATCTCTTCTACCTCACTGGTGTATGCACACTGCATGTTTCGATATTGGCCAACTTCAGGTGTCTCTAAACTGCTGATGAAACTACTGTGCTTTCATCCATAAGTTCAGTTTTTGGGATGTTCCCTCCTCTTTGTGCCCATGTGTCCTGTGGTGATGGGTAGTTCTCATATTTTGCTGTGTGTAGATGTTTTGAATGAACTGTAAGAAGTGAATTATACATGAAATGTGTGTTGTTTGCTTTTACAACTTTTGTTTTGAAACATATTTCATGGGCTCCTCTTGACATGTCCATGGAAGCACATTTAGCTTTTATGTAACATGGCTGTTACTGCTGTGTGATTTTAAACAAAGCTGGAATGTATCTATAGAGTTCAGTAAAGCTCCCAAATATCTCTTCGCATGTTCTCAAGTTGCTTGAGCAGAGACAGACATGGTAAAGCTGGTAGGTGCAGTTCTGCAACTTCTCGTTGCCAATGCACAGAAGACAGGAATGGCTTCCATTGTCTTTTTCCAAAGTTGGATGATTTTGCTAGTGTATGAGCAAAGTGCGAGGAACAGTTTCCTCGTGAAACTCTTTGAACTGTTTCACTATTCATCTGATCTTTCTCCAAGATGCGTGTCATTCATTTACTTTGAAGTGAGGTAGCAACCCACAGAATTACTGGGTTTTTTACTCTTTCCGTTGTCCGGAATTCTAGGTAATAGAGGACATGACGTTTTGGAAACTGGATCTGTTTCCATCTTCAAGTGAGAAAGGAAGACGGAAACAGATCCAGCTTCCAAAATGTCGTGTCTATTACCTAGAATTCCGGATGATGGAAAAAGTCCAAAAACCCAGTAATTCTGTGTGTCGTCCACCATCGACAGAACCCTTTTTGAATTGAATTGAATTTATTTACATTCTATAAATCCTAAGCAACAATAAATCTAAACCAATTCTATATGCAGATGACACTAGTATAATATTTAAGAACTCTAAATTTGAAAACTTTAAAAATGACATAAATATNTAACTTAATTTTACATCATTCTCTATTTACATTGAAGTATTCATCTAAAGAGTAGAAGGAATGAGCATGTAGATAATTCTTTAACTCTGATTTAAACTTTTTAGTATCATTGCCCAAGTTTTTAATACTTTGTGGCAGATTGTTGAACACTTTTATGCCAGTAAAGTAGACTCCTTTTTGATATACTGATAAAGTTGATGAGGGTAGGTGGAAGTTATATTTTTGTCTAGTATTCATGTTATAGACATCAGAATTTAATTTGAATTTATCTTTGTTGTAAACAACAAATAAGAGAAGCGATAATATGTATTGCGATTGAAGAGGTAGAATTTTTAATTTCTTAAATAATTCTCTACATGAATCTCTACTTCTGCATCCTGTAATGATTCTAATTATATTCTTTTGTATTTTGAAAATTATTACACTATTACACTAGGAGGTAGCAACTGTTTATCAAATTACCAGCAATTGTTTACAGTGATTGTTTTGTTGTTCCATCTGTTTTCTTCTTTCTTTCCTTCGTTAACATTTCATTTGATTCCTGTAAATCGCAATATCTCAGTACAGAGGCTGGCCACAGGCTGGACAACCATGGTTCAGATCATGGCACAGGTAGAGACTTATCTCCTCATCGACATAACCACCGAGCCTCATGTCTGAAGGGAGCCTGCAGCTGAGGAATGAAGCTGACCATTCGCCTCTGTCTTGTGCTCAAGTTACGAATATCTGCATATGTGTCCCAGATATCTCTTGTATCTCCATGGCTTGGTGTTTAGGTTCCTGTTAAGTACCATGTCCTGCTGGTCCCGCAACACATTTCATAGTCTTTATACAACCATGTTTGGTTCGTGCATACAAATGACTTGCTTGACATGTTGGTCATGTGAGTGCACAGTTATTTGGCCTTTGTACAACATTTCATAACCTCACAGCCCCGCCAATCACAAGTGAAAGTGTGTGTGTCAGTATGATAGCACATGCTTGCAACATGAACACCGAGCACTGTGCATATCAACTGAAATTTGCTGTGACATGTTGCACCAAACATCAGAGCTCAGTGGGAGGTGCTTCTGTGCTGTATTTGGAGGGGGCGGGGGCAGAAAGCAGCTGTGCTGGCTCCTGAGATCGCCATTAACCAAGCCATGAGGGGATAACTGATAATGTTGGTGCCTTAGCCTTCATATGGATGCGGTCATATCACTGTCCCTCAGTTCTATGTGTTCCCATGCATGTACAGAGTAACATTGCATCAGGTTTTGCTTGAGCCACTTACCATTGCACCCATGCTTCATGCTTGGCTGGCTGTCTCACATCTCTTCTGAAATAAAGGGAATCGACACTGTAGAAGATGGAAAAGAGGATTTCTTGTGCGCAAACTCTGCTTGTCTGTCTTATGTGGGATAGGAAGTATTGTATCATTGCACAGAGTGAGCAGTTAGGTCTGGCCCTGTGTAGGTAAAGGTGGTTCAGTAGTACTGGAAATATCTGAAATTGGATCAGTGGCTACAACATAAAAGAAACCTTTTGTTCCAATCCATAACATTACAGCATTTCCTGCCTAAAGGTTCAGTGCAGCCTGTCACCTGAATCTGTCTTGATCCAGATAAATTTAGTCCACCTGTCCCATCCCTCCTCCATGAAGATGCATTTTGATATCCTTTTGTATCTGCCTAGATGTTCCCCTGTAGTGTTCAAACTGAAAATTTGTATGCATTCTCACCCACCCTCCGGATGTGCGCCCATGCAGACATCTTGCCCTCCGCCCCAGTAGAACTTCATGAAAAGTAGAAATTATGCTCTCAGCAGTGACCATGAAGATTGTGGGCTTCCAGGGTGTGACAATGTGTAATTGGTAGATAGTTACAGATGTTTTGGATGAACCTTCTGCCTCCATCATCAGGGTATGAAGATACAGGCCACAGGTTGGTCTGAAACATTGCTACCCATCTACACAAATACATATCACATCCTAAAACATTGTAATTTTGATATAAATTATGAGGGTCCCATTATGCAGTTTTAAAATGTAATTCACTGAAGTCCTGAACAGTTGTCTCTCCGTCAGATGATATGCCAAGTAACAGTATGGAGGCCTGAGACTGCTTTGATGAAGGAATTAGGAATTTTGTTCTGGTTTAAAATTACATACTTGTATGTGTTTCAGTGTGTGTGACGCCAGCGATCGATGTTTACTCCTTTGGTATGTGTGCCCTGGAAATGGCAGCGCTGGAGATACAGGGTAATGGTGACTCTGGGACTCTGGTGACAGAGGAGAACATTCATCGGACCATAGAGTCACTTGACGACGAGCAGCAGAAGGACTTCATCCACAAATGTCTGCACAAGGAGCCTGGTCACCGACCCAGCGCTCGAGAGCTTTTGTTCCACCCACTTCTCTTTGAAGTGCATTCACTCAAACTCTTATCTGCACATGCTCTTGTTCACAGCACTGGTAAGGAAATTGCGCCGGCATAATGATGCAGACAGTTTTGTCTTTTTGTTGTGGTAAATGTGTGAATAGTGCATTACACCATTTTTTTCCTGGGGGTAAAGGGTGGCCAGTGCATAAGACTGACATCCTCATCACCGTCTGTGAGCCGACTGTCTAGAGAAAATGTGGGAACCTTGACGTCTCGCAGCACTATGGCCCTCCACGGCCTGTTACAGGGATAGAGTCCTTTACCTTTAACTGGGGCATGCAGTGGTATAATTTATTGATATTATATCTGAATTTGTTGAGGCACTATGCTATAAGCCGGAAGGTCATGGGCTCAATTCCTGATGAGGTCGTTGGATTTTTCAATTGACCTAATCCTTCCATTTGCGTTGTGGCCCTGGGGTCGACTCAACCTCTGACAGAAGTACCAAGAATCATCCTGGGATTAAAGGTGCGGGCAGCGCATGGCCATCTGTGAGCCGATTGTCTAGAAAATGTGGGAGCCTCGACTTCTCACATCCCTGGGGGCCTTCACGGACTGTTACAGGGATAGCTTTAAAGGCACGTCATTGACAAGTTTTGGAGAGACCTTGCAGTGCCTCACCCATACATTACCTCTTTTGAACAGTGACTCCATTTGTGTCTGTTTCTCAGTGCTCTTCCCTCCCATAACTTCACATGTTTTCCCATGTGTGTGCACGTGCGTGGCATTGTTCCTGATTTGTTTTTCCAGTTTTGATGATGATCTGACATACAGAACATTCATTGAGATTCTTTTTTCTTGCAACATATCCATACTGTCATATTTCTTGTTTTGTAATTTCTGTAAATTTTCATAACTTTTTTGTTTCTTCTTCTTGATTACCCTTTACAAAAGATGGTGGTCTAGAATCCATGTTCCAGTTAATGCAGAGACTGTGTTGGAAGTAATGTCCTGTTTTTGTTTTATTCAGTACATTAATTTATGTTAAATTTAAATGTAATTTAATTCTCTGTGCAGTTGTTTCGACAATAATTCTGTTCAGAAAGTGAAGTATGTGCCTATACTGTTTTTATTTCTCTTTGCTTTTGACATGTTTCTATAGAAGAATGATTAATGTCTTTCAGTTATGGACCTGGCATTAAGGAAACTAAATATGTTCTGTCAGGTTGAACCTGTCTTGCCTAGCTCAGCCATATCGGATCACCTCAGTATGTACTCTTACGACAGATATTGGGGCGAAGTGCTTCATATCTTTTCACAAACTATCTGATGGTTTTGTGCTTTTTCTCAGTCCCTCCAGGCAGATGCCTGAATAGATTATTCATTGATGATCATGGCATTTGTTGCTGTGCAGTTTGAGGTATTGCAGTAGCAAGTGTTGCTCATGAGCTCGCCCTGACTGTTGTAGCCAACATCTCAGAGACAATAACAGATGAAGTAATGCAGAGACTGTTTGGTCCTGACGTGGTGGTTGCTGAAATCATCCACCCTGATCGGCAGGGAGTGCAGATGAAGATGTCTGACGTGCCTGTTGCGGAGAAACTGGAGAAGTTTGTTGAGGATGTGAAGTGAGTTTCTGTCACTCTGCTGTTTGGAAGCCTACACACAGTAAACCATTAACAAGTGTACAGGTGCTCTACAGGAGCATTTAACACTGTTTTTGTTGATCTCTATAATTGAAATCGAGATTTTTAGAGTGTTGTTCGTGATTGATCACTGCCACATTATGTAATAATGTTTCTGTGTTTCAGGAATCCATCATAACAGAATTGTATTTCTGAATTTTTTAAGTTGATTTCTAATTGTATTTAATTAATTCTTCTACCACTGCGGTGGTGCAATTTATTTCTGTGATGTAATATAAAGCAAGTACATTGCCGTTTCGTTTTTAGAGCCTCGAATGTAACAGATTATTAGTTCCTTCTGCTTTTTATTAAACTTTGTGGCAGCCTTAAGATTTCTGTTGTTTGGGTTGTGAGACTGTGTAGTTCGATAATAGGTACTGGCATTTTGGTGGAAACCATTGTTTCTGCCGTCAGGGTAGATGAGTGATGTGGTAACTTGTTTTTTTTTTGGAAGGGGGCAATGTCAGTGTCTAATTCTTGAGGCTCTGTATGGGTGCTGGACTGTCTGTGTCTGCAGGTATGGCATTTACCCACTGACTGCATTCAAGGCTCGACAGCCGCCGCCACCTCGACCGCGGCCAATATCACCAGAAGTGGCAGAGTCTGTGAAATCTGTTACACCGGAACCAGTTGATGTCGAAACGAGGAGAGTCGTCAATATGATGTGCAACGTCAAGCCCAAGGATGAGGGCTGTGAATTGCTGGTAAGATTCAAAATATTGCCTATTCCAAATGTGATATTGTATTTAAGCATCCTGTTTGCATTAATGTATCTCTTGTGTACGCGTATTTCCATCTTAAAAGTGACTTATTATCAGGTCTTGTCAATCTTGATAAAATTTTTGCACTGTGTGTTGAAAGATATATAGCACGTGAACACATTATTTCCTAATTAAAATGTTCAGAATTAAAATTAATCACCATCTTAATATCATTTATTATGCATATTAGTTGATGGATGGATGGATTAGTTGTGCAGTTTGTAATGTCTGTCTTTGGGTGTGAAACTTGGTCTCTGACATTATGGGAGGAACATAGCCTGAGGGTGTTGAGGGGAATATTTGGACCGAAGAGAGATGAAGTGACAGGAGGTTGGATAAAACTGCATAATGAGGAGCTTCATAACTTGTACTGTTCACCAATTGTAATTTCAATGATGCAGTAGAGGAGGATGACATGGGCAGGTCATGTAGCACGAATGAAGAAGAGGAATGCATATAGAATATTGGTGGGAAAGCCAGAAGGAAAGAGACCACTACAAATACAGGTTGCGGCAGCATAATTTGCTGATTTGAATTTGGTGCCAGGAAGAGAGGTTTGGCTGTTAGAGGGTGCGGATGGTCTCATTTGAACGGGTTGGTTGGGAAGTTTGTTCTTCCTTCCACTTTAGTACCAAGAATGTGTTGGACCAAGGAACCGCGCACGTTTGCCGTAGAGGCTTGCTTTTCTAGCGGTGGCACGATCATCGCCACACAGCGAGCATTCCGCGCGCACTTCAGTATTTCTGCCCGAGCTCGTGTTCCTGGTCGTCAGTTGAGTGTTATGTGGGCAAACACATTCAGGAGAACTGGCGGTGTGGAAAAGAGAATATCAGGAGAACGGCCTGTCAGATCACCCCAAAACATCGAGGTGGTAAGGCAGTCTTTTTTTGCGATCTCGGCGCTCGGCAAGCAACCATGCAGCTGCCCTTGGAATGTCTGATCGTTCTGTGAGGCGAATTCTTCATGATGACCTCCACTTTCATCCTTACAAGTTGGCTGTGGTGCAAGAACTCGCTGAACGCGATTTTGCTGCTTGGCAACATGCATGTGAAGCATTCCTTGAAACTTTGCCTGATGATGCGCTTGTGTTCTTTAGTGGCAAGGCTCATTTCCATCTTTCTGGATGCGTGAACAAGCAAAACATGCGCTACTGGAGTGATAACAATCCCCGAGAACTTCATGAGAGGCCCCTTCATTGTGAACGTGTAACTGTTTGGTGTGCACTGTCGAGAGTAGGGATTGTTGGTCCCTACTTTTTTGAAGAGAATGAGGTTGCAGTTACAGCGAATTCTGTTTGCTATGTGAAAATGATTGAAGAATTTTTTTTGCCAAGTCTTGACGAAGTAGATATTGGGGATGTGTGGTTTCAGCACAATGGAGCCACGACACACACGGCGCGAACTGCAATGCGTGTTTTGCGGGAACACTTCCCTGGGTGCCTCATTTCTTTCAGGGGCGATCTTCAGTGGCCAGCGCGCTCACCAGATATAGCCCCTTGTGACTATTTCTTATGGGGGTATCTGAAATCCCTCATATACACCAATCGTCCAAGGACCCTTGCTCAACTGAAGGAGAACATTCGCCAAGCCATGGCCAACATAATGCATCGCTATGCTGGAAAGAGTTGACGGGACACTTCAGAATTCAGGCAAATCACTGTATCACCAATGGGGGGGGCACTTGTTGGATACAATTTTTAAAACAGAGTAAACGTAAATTTCCAATGTTGTAGAATATGGAGAAAAAACTTTTGTTTTATTGACCCTTCAAATCAGCAAATTATGCTGCCACACCCTGTACCAAGACATAAGTGGATAAATAACATTAAAATGAATCTTAGAGAGATAGGATGGTGTGGTGTGGTGTGGACTGGATTGATCTGGCTCATGGTAGTAACCAGTGGATGGCTCTTGTGAACACGGTGATGAACCTTCAGGTTCCATAAAATGCCGGGAATTTCTTGAGTAGCTGCACAACTGGCGGCTTCTTGAGAAGGGCTCAGCTCTAAGGAGTCAGTTTAGTTATGTGTGCTCTGTTGGCTTGTAGGCTTTTCCATGCTGTTAGACTAGTTGTGTTGTTAAGTGCTTTGTATTTGTAGAAATTAGGAAATACTGCATTGCATGTGTACTATAACTTTGACATACAGTGCAACAGTTATACCAAAATAGACAACACCTGATGATGGGTGCATATGGCCGAAACATAGTAAGGAAGAAGGCTGACTGGATAATAAGTTGCGCTTAAGATGGAAATATATGTGCACAGAAGTACACAAATATATGAGATAGAAGAAGGAAACAGATTTTCCTTGTTTGCAAAGAGAGTATAATGCATAAATACAAGGTTGCAAAATCCAACATCCTTTTTTTTTTATTTCTAATTCATACTTAACTTTATGGTTTTGTTATTTGGCTGAGCTATTCAGTAGTGATTGGGAAGTCACATGAGCGTTTTTTTTTTCTAGATGACTATTTTACTCCGCATGGATGACAAGATGAACCGACAACTGACATGTCTGGTTTCTGAAATTGACACATCCCTACTTCTGGCTCAGGAACTTGTTCATTTTGGCTTCATCAATGAGGTAATAACACAAGTCACTGCGGTGAGTGAAACATTACTGCTGTGAAGAGGCTCGGCTGTATTTTGTGGGCAAGAAAACTGGTCGCCATCCAGGTAGTCTTCGAAACAGAATGTGAAGATACAAGTTTGAAGGTTGCAAGCATTAGGTGCAGGGCCATTCAGTAATTGAAAATTGTGTTCTCTGATTTTGATGCTTGCACAGGCTCCGTTACCTGGTGGCCTCAAATTGTGTGAGGCTTTAAACTGTTTATACACTTTTTTTTTTTTTTTTTGTGATTTTTATGTTATTTGTTTTTAATATTAACTTCTTGTGGTTTGAAGGTAAATACTGTAGGATGGTATGGTATGACTGACCCACCTAAAGGTTTCATATTGTCACGATTTAGACGTGACTATAGATGGGGCTTGTATTGGTGAATGGATTTATTGACCAGTTAACATGCACCACTTGGAACTACAAGTCATTACAGTGCTACTGATAATTTCCACAAATCCCTAGCACACAGTGTGTCTTCTCAGTCCTCACTAGACATTTCCTGGCAACGGCTTCTAACAATGGAAATTCTTCAGCTTCCTGCATTGAGATCCTCTTACCACAGCTGCCAATGCAGAACTCTTGTAACCATAAACTGAGCTATAGTGCCACTCCTCTTAGCATCCCTGCAGAGCTCAACTGAACTGCCATCCCTTAACTGACAGCTGACAAGGTCAACTTAATTGTCTTCAGAATAACTCCTAGGTGCAAACCACATCAGAAACACCATTCTTCTAGTGTTACATTTGTTTGTTTCCACGGGAATGTGTTTACCAAGCCATTGCTTGTAAACAGCTGTTTTCTTATCCACCTGTTGCACTTCAGTGGTTATACTCATCATTTGTTTCTTTGCCTAGCAACGAGTGTCTGTTCATCTGGCAACACGCAGGCCACATGCGGCCTTCCATTCCCCAGATATCGCAATGCTTTCATCTTCTTTAAATGGCAGCAAATGTTATAGAAAACTTTACAAAATGTGCTTACTGAATATTTTATATAATTTTTCAGTTGTTTTCATACAGTACTAATAAACAACAGTTGCTTCTTGTGAATGACCATCTACACTTCACAACAAATTTTGTTCAGTGTTGTGGCTAGTGAAATTAATGAATTTATTACGATACATGTGGACGGTCAAACCCTTATAATAAACACCACAGGCAAAACTAATAATTAAGAAAGTGTTTAATTAATGTGACTCCAGTATCAATTGAAGGAAGCAGACTTTTAGTGGCTTGTTCGTGTACTTAACCATCAGCCTGGTAACATTTAATTTAAATCAATGTTTGGCCTATTTCTTAGTTTTACACTTGTGCTTGATAGATTGATCACAGAAGGGCAGACATTTGTATCCTGGAAAATGTGTATATTTTATAATGAGGCCCATGGGTAGGTACATAAACTAATTTTGGGTCCCTTAGTGGTTTGAAGACAGACAGCCCTTCTGTATACTCACGAGGAATCATATGTGAATGTCATGGTTAAAATGTGGACTTTGATGTGTTGCAGGCTGATAGGGAGAAGATTGCCAATCTGATTGAAGACACCCTTCAGAGTTGCTTCAACAACCAGCTCCTAAGTCCAACCAGTGGCAACTCTCAGCTCCTCGGCACCACCGCCCTTTTTCCACCACAGCCGCCACTTCTTGTATCTCAAGCAGCCAACAATCAAGTGACGGTACACTCGGGTAGTTAATAGCGGCTTCACAGCCGGTCGACTAGCCGAATGGGCAAAGCCTGGGTGGGGCTCTCGCAGAATCCGCTCTAGCAATATTATCGCCAATTGGCTGGTCGGTGGGCTGACTACAAGTGAACTAGCTGGTGCTTGGTGCTGTTTTAATTCGTTATCGTGGCAGTAAGGCAAGGTAAAGGAGGTACAGACCTATACTGACATCTGGTGACAAGTGGAAGAAGAGTGACATTATTCACAAGAATAACCGGCAACAGTGTAAGAAGCGTGTGTTCGCTAGTGCTGGAACTCAATAATGCAAATAAATTGCTCCCTCTCTATGTAATCCCATATCCCATCAGTTTTTCATGTATAAATATATATTTTTTAAGTCGGCTTGGTGCAGAAAGCTAGTCATACCTCATCCAGAGAGTTTCTCTTGCTCTTCAAACGTGTGTTGCTGCAGGTTTGGCTTCATTTACAGGAGAATGATTGTTCTTTTTATTGCCTATATCCTCTCTGCTGTCACTCTTGTTACTGCAGCTAGTTTTGAGCAAATGAAATGGTATTCATTGAATTTTAGCCGTGAATTAATAGGCTGCTGTTACTGGTGATGCTGAATTTAAAAATGTATCTGATTTAGAGCTCAGTTATTTTTCTTTCTAGCTGACAGCAGCCCAGGAGCAGAGGAAATGGCCTCTCAAACGATATCTTATCCATCCCATGGCAAATTTTTCCACCTGTCCTCTTACAACTCCGACCAAACTGTATACATAATGCATGGTATATATCTGATAGTGCTTCAGTAGTCTTGGGCCATGTGTAATCAACATTTCTATTCAGCAAAAATAAAATAAAATAACATAAAAAATGCATTTGGCTTAAGGTATAAACCCATATAATTGTAGCAATTAATTTTCATAAAATATATTTTTTATTTAAGTAATATTACTCCTTTGTTCATAATTTCATTTGAATTTTCTAATGCAAATTGTGTGAAATGTATGGAGCTGTTTTAAATCTCCTATGTCCTGTGATATGTTAGTTTCTAAATATGTCACAAAACCCAAAATGAAGTCAGAATTTCATGATGAATTCTATGAGTGTGGTGGCATGAATTGAATTCCATAAGTTTGAACAGTTCTGGCTTTTCCCATACTGAGTTTAATGACAGTGCAACATGTGCTGTGAGTAATTAAATGTGTTTTGTTGGAAGGACTCTTGCTTCTAGACTTTTGTTAATTCCGCACTCTGTTTATCGCGACATGTACTGCGTATAAGCTTCATTTTGTAAAGAATACAATACTCAAATAGAACGATAGATATCTGTGTATATAATGAAAATACTATTTTGTTATTTTTTAAATTGATGTGTTTGCCTCTTGAGACTGATATGAGTAATTAGGCCGAAACAGGAAATATGTGGATGTTTATGAGAAAAATTAGGGCTTAAGTGAGAGGCAAGGGGCCAACTCAGTAATGATTATGATGTAGTATATACTGGTAGGGGGAGAAGTAGGAGGCTGCGTGCCCAGCAGGTGCTGGGCATTTTGTGAGCAGGTGCTTTCTGGATTGGAGAACTGGCGACGAACAAAATGGTGGGCTGAAAGAAACAAAATGGTGGACTAAAATATCATATCTTTGCAAATGTAGCCTATAAATATTTGTCCTCCTCCAGAGCTTGTAAAATATTTTTGCTCAAATTCCAGTGCAGTGTTTTCTGTAATTCGCATCATAATAGCCTGTATAGGTCTTTGGAAATGAGGTGCCATGTTTGTAATGTTCGCCCACCATGTCATACATTAATTTAAATGCTTCGGAATTAGACCTTTATACTTGTGTTGCCAATAAAAAGGAAAATACGACATATTGATCTTCCCTAGTCTACTGAAAATGAAACGAAAACAACACTGGTTCTTCGTATGGCTCATATTGAGCGAGATTAAGACTGTTTTGAGTGAACCAATGCAAACCTGTGTGGTGGGAAAGCATCTGACTGATGACTGGTGAATGTATTTTGAAGCAGGATCCAGTAAACCATATGAGTGCATCTCTTCTTAGGCACATGTTACTGAATGAGTGGATGTGAAGCAAATCATCATATGATCACATGAGCTCAAGAAAATATGCATATCAAGGTTGGAAAGATCAGCAGAAAGTGTGTTAACAATTTGTTGTGGTCATTGCTTGTGTTGTATATGGTTCGTGCGACCCCTTTTGAAATTGTCAGTGGCCGTTTTCACATTGTGTTCAGCCTTTCTAGTTCATTAAATCTCATAAATATGGCCAGCAAGTGTTGCACTTCATTTATTTATCCTCCTCTTTAGTTTCAGGATTCCCTGAGTGTTCCAGATCCTTACCTTGCGCAGTCTTCTGAATTGTGGAGTACAAGAAGCATCCATTTTCAGACATTTTAATGGGAATTAATCTTGGGACAGTTCCTTTTGAGTCTTTTTTTAATAAATATTATTTTTTTATGTTATTCAACGATTTCTGTCTTCATTTCAGTTGACATGTGAACTAATGAAATACTTTTGAATATTAGAAGGGGAAATGGAAATTCTCCCATATAAGTTGGCCCTAATTGTCTGAGGATGTAAGCAAAAATTTTTCTCTACAAAATAGAAGTAAAAGTGAAACAGTTTTTCCTGCCTCTTGTAAAAATTGTCAGCCTTTTCTTTAGATTTTTTTTATTTGTTTATATTTCTTGCTACAGTGATAGTCCAGAAATTAATTTGACCAGGAATTAGCAACTAACAGGACTACCAAGCTATACCTTTAAAGAAACTGAAAATGTGAAGATAGAATGCTTTGATAAGTAGTGGTTAAACAAGCACTGCTCCTTCTTGCTAATTTATGGACAGGACAAGAGTGATTCCAAAGTCAAGTCACGTCATTTTCGAGATTTAATGGTAAAGAGAGTAAAAGCCTGAGTAGATTTTTGAATCTTGAGACAAACAGTTGTATCAAAAGCAGGCAGTCACTATTACTGTCCTGCGGGAAAGTAACGCCATGTTGTGTTTCAGTACCGTACATGGCATTACACCCCAGACAACAGTATTTGGTGTGTTCTCGACAATGAAAATGGCAAATCACAAATAGAAGGGATTGTTACATATTCAGTACAACTACAAGAACCCTGGGTGTTCAGATTTATATAGTTTCTGTGTTCTTGGAGTCACAGCTGTGTTTTGAAGTACATTTTGTAATGATTGAACATTGTGTAAGGCTCACAGCTGTGTTTTGAAGTACATTTTATAATGATTGAACATTCTGTGAGGCTTGAATCTGTGTGTTCAACTTCATTGCTATGAGATTGATGCTTGAAGTGGGAAAGTTCTTACATTGATACATTATGTATATTTAAGTTTAGAGATACTGTGCTGTTGTCACATACACTTAGTTACAGATGCACATAGATCCCTTGTGGAGGTTATGAACTCAATATGACATACAGTATATGGTAATGCAGCTTTAAAACACAGATGAAAAGTATTAAAAATGCACTGAAGTGCCATGTGTTCCAGCTGAAAGAGAACAAACACCATTCATTTGTGGTGGTGCTGCTTATAGTAGTTCTGTAGCTTCTGGAAGTACTAGTGAAGTTTCTTCGTGTGCTGCTCTGTGGTATGTCGTCGGGCATCCAGCTGGGGGGCTGGTCCACCCTCTGCAGGTGGCTTTGTTAACGGTTGGGACCCATGCGTACTCTGCTCTGCTAGCAGTTTCAGTTGTTGATCTGAAAAACTGAGAAACTTATTGAGTGGAGATGATTGTGATATTGGCATTATTTGGGCTCGTATAGTTTCATCATTGGGAAAAGAGTGAATTACTGCTACTGGGATGTCTGTTGTGGTTTTTTGTGGGTCATTTTGGGTTGGTAGATATAATGGGGTGAGGTTGCGTGTTGATGGAAGATTGAATTTCTGTGCAATAAGAGGCGATTGCACCTGGGGGACATAAAGATCAGCTTGTTGGTTGGATGGGAGCCAATTCTGCTGAGCTGCGTGCCATTCTTGTCTATTGAAATTTACCATGTTTGCTGAGTTTGGCGTTGCTATTATGGTATATATGTATTTCTGTGGGGAGTGAGTTGCAGCATGTGTAAGTACATCATGCTGTTGAAATGATTGTGACTGTGGTTGGTGAAAAACACTCACATGTGGGTTGAAGGTAGGTGCGCCAGAAGGGGGAGGAGTGACTGGCACCAAGATCTGGGGTACTTTTGAATCTGAAATTTGATTTAGAAATGGTCGTGGGTGAATACTGTATGGTAAGTGAAACAGGGGATCTCTTTGATTAACGCTGCCCATATTTTGTAATGACACAGCAGAATCAGTAAATCCCTTGGGTGGTTTCCCTACAGCGCTTATGAGCCCTGCTTCTTCCACTGAGGTGTCTCCATTAACGAACTGTCTTACATCTGATCCCAGAGGCGTCACTCTAGTGGCTGGAAGTTCTTCCTGTTTTGATAGAGGAGGCTCAGCCACACTTTGGCCAGTTTGTTGGTTATGCACAAACTTCATTGTTACAGAGCCTGTACCACCTTCATTCTTGGTGTGCACATATGAGGGGCTCATTTGGATGGAGGGTGGCCTGTCCCTTGTCCTCGTCCTTGCCCCAAAATTTCCATGCAACGTTTCTGCCGTTTTTCTTCTGACCACAGGACGTATATTCTCAGCTACTCCATTCTGATCTGTTCTGTAAGTCTGAATTGCTTCCGCATCTGTTGACTTGGTGTTGTTTGTGTGATTTCCATTGTTGCCATCCACAGGATTGTCCCCTGTTTTAATCAAATTAGTATTTGCTGTTCGTTCAGAGTTTTCTCTCAAGTACATTTCGTGCAGGTGACCACCTCTTTGCAAGTCATTTATGTCTGTCACCGTTCCTTCAGTGAGATTTCTATCCAACTGATGAGAAAATATATATTGTGGTCTTGAAGCATGTGGTACAGCCATTCTTGCTGAATTCTTTACATTTGAACTTGACCGTCGAAATGCCTGTGGTCTTGCAGTTATTCTGTCTACAGAAGTGTTGAGAAGAGAGGAAGGTCCAGGCAATCTGTTTGTGGCTGTTTCTCTATGGCTTGCAGACTGTTTCTCAATTACTCTCATTGAATGAAGTGACTGTCTGGATCTTTGGCCTGTGTGGTAACGACTGTTCACACTTCGTGTTTCATCAGCTGCCGGTTTACCTCTGGGACCAGGTCGTCCTTCTCTTGTGGCCAGTTTGGATATTCTCATCTTCAGGTTCTCAGACACGAAGGATCGTTTAGGAACATTCGCTTGCTTGCTTTGCATATGGTTTGTCAATGTGAGCCCACTGGTGGGAGTTTCAACTTGGTTCTTGTCATTGTCTTCATCGACATCATGCTCCTCACCATCGTCTTCAGCTTCTCCATCATCCACTTGGTCCTCATGATTTTCTTGCATTTCATTATGTGCTTGTATCCTGTTAGACTTGCTATGTGATGCCACAGGATATTCCTTCTCTGGCATATCAGTAGTCTCAGCAAGTATCTGTTCGATGATCGAGGAAACTTTTGGAGTTTCTGTCAAATTTTTGCTGTTCTTGTAATCTAGCTCTAATAATCGTAGCTCAGTCATATTGCTTGACAGCAAAGCATCATCGTTCATATTCCAGCTCCAGGCATCTGTGTCATTTTCATCACCATCTTTAGGATGAATCAGATACACAGTCTCCAGTTCTGTGGGGTCAGATGTCCCTGCCATATTCCATGGGAACACAATGATTGGGTCTGACTGTTGGAAGTTAGGACGATTTGTGTTTTCTTCAGGAGAAATATTCAGGTCATTTTTCAAGTCTACAGTCACACTGGAGATTTTTTTCGAGTCTTCCAAGCCAGCGATACTTTTTTGTTGCTGCACAGTGATGAACGTCTGGTGTGACATGGAGTTCAAAGTTGTTTGTGAGCTGTTTGTGTGCTGTTCTAATGACATTTGCTGAGTAATATTTTTGCTGGCCTCCTGCTGTCCTAGACTGGTGTTTCCCTCTCCAGACCCTGTTACATGACCAGGAACATCAGGCACGCTGACGCTGAGTGAAGCCCCACAGCATCTGACTTGTCGACTGTCCAAGCAGATTGGAATCTGGCCAAAGTGCCTGACGTCAAGTTCAGATTCTCCGAATATTCTGGGACACAGTTCAGGTGTTATGCAAGGACACCGCGATTCCAGGGGCCCTCCACCTGGGGTGTGCAGCATCCAGTCTTCTGCTGACACTGCTGCCACAAGCAGTAGACACCACAGCCTGTTAAATGTTACTTAAATGAATATCGCATAATATCGTGTTCTTTCAGAGATTCTCAGTCAGATTCCTTCGGCTGATCTCAAGGGCTCTTTTACTAAGCAGGTCTAAATTATGAAGAAAGCAGTCTTCTGGGATTTGGCACCGTGTATATGTATATTTATGTATATCCCAGAAGACTGCTTTCTTCATAGTCACCGCCGTGAAAGCCTCAAATCTTACAGGTCTAAATTACTTTTATAGTTTGCTTGAGGACTAAAACCATTTTTTTTGTGTGTGTGTGTGTTTTAAGGCTTTTGATAGATTATGGTGAACTTTGGAAATACTGGGCCCATTCTGTTGATGGATGACTATACCTGCGTGTCATCTACCTTAACGGATTTTAGTGGGGTTTGCTAGGGGATTTAACCTGTGATGTGACGTCATGCAGTCTGTTAGATATACACCGACGTTTCAGAGGAAAGTACTGTCTCTATATTCAACGACGTCACATTACAGAATATTGCATTTAAGTGTTCTGTTGCATTAATATATCATTTATTTCACGTATGTTTCCGTCTTAATTGCAACTTATTCTCTAGTCACCCCACATGTTTCGGCTGTATACGGCCATCATCAGGTGTCCTCTATCTTGTTAAAAATGTTGCACTGTATGTCAAAATTTCGTAGCGCATGTAAACGCGATATTTCCTAATTAAAATAGATTGACCTTAATTAAAATGAATTAACATCTCAATGTTGTCCTTGTGGTCGTCGTCCGTTCGTTTAAAAGATATTTGGTTGAGTTTAACTTGTTTTGTATGTTTGTGCAGCATTCCCTTTGCGGCATGGGCATTATGCGTGTGGTTTGTGCAGTTCGCAGATAGTATCGACATGCACAGACCACTTAACAGCATTACGTTGAAAAACCTACAAGCCAGTGGTGCATACATAACAAAACTGTTAATGACACCACATCAACATCCTTACGAACTACACAAAACACATGCATAATACCCACGACGCAAAGGCAATGCCGTGCAAATAAATAGAAAACGAGAGATACTCAAGCAGACTGTAGCCACCTGCTCACGCTGGTTTCTCGCTCGCAGATTTTTCTAACTGAAGATGGAGACGATATGTTCCTCCGAAACATCGGTTCACAAGATCTACACGGTAACACATCCCAGAAGACGGCATTTGTGTATGTGTTCCGTATGGTTCTCACAATAAACAGCGACTGTTTCCCCAAATAGCATTAACCGGTTGGACTTTGTAGCGGAGACGTAATGTGTTTCCTGTGAGGTACGGACTGAATTCTTATATATAAAGTCTGTGCATTTCGCACACACAGTGTATTTGTGTGTTCCATATGGTTCTCACAATAAACAGCGACTGTTTCCCCAAACAGCATTAACCGGTTGGTCTTTTCCATGATGTGTATGTATTGACCGTCTTCTAGTGCACCCAATCTCATCTTGTCACTTCACTACATGTTTCGGCATCACTGTGCCATCCTCAGGTGTGTTACTTGCGTTAAACTATTGCACTGCTCGCCATCATGTGTCGTTTATAAAATGATTTAAAATGTATAATCCTCATGTACTATAATAAAATTTATATATTAAAATTTGTTAAGATTTATCATCTTATACGTCGTGTTTCATACTCGCGTATTATATCAATCTTCCGCTATGGGAGTCGTTCTTCCTATATTTGTGTATGCAACGCACGCAGTCACAAAAGAAATATGAAAAATGAAAAAAATACTCTTCACAGTTGAGTGCACTTAGGGAGGTGGACGAGTCACTTGTCTGTTCAGACAAAACTTGACGGTTTCTTCAAACCCACATTATTACGTTCAAAAACAAATACAACTTCTGAGTCTTGATGAATAAATGTATTGCCTTCTTACAGTTATTAAATAAAAGCTCTACAGCACTACTTGTATAATTAAATTTTTGCCATATATTTATGTTACTAATATTTTTTGTATTTTAGGGCTACCTTTTGCTTCACTAATCCGGATTGGCGCTTAATTCGGATGATCCCCCAATTACTCCGTATTTACTTTAGCTGAATAATATTATTTGCGTCTTCTGACTGACAAAATACCAGGCGAAGCTATTCGTGCTGGGCCCAGTACTGATGCCTCGTGGCAGTTTTCCTGAGAATTGCAGCTACACTGCAGATAACCCCTACTCTCTGTGTGTCTTCACAGAGGTAACAGCACACTTGCTATTCAAGATGCGGACGAAAATATAAACCCTTACCTGTGTGGTGCAATCATGTCTGCTTCCTGCTCTGACAGTACCCACAAATTTAGTGTAGCGGGAGTCGAATCTGCGGTTTTACCACAATTCCCCGGTACTGTTAGCTGCCCCCGGGGGTCAGTATGACCGTTCTGTCTAATTATAGTGAATGTACACACGGGGGAGAAACCCCCGAACTGACGAACTTATCGTGTCACTTTCTAGCTCAGATATGCATGTGATATCCTGCTCAATGTAGCAGAGTGGGACTGTGCTGCACACTCCTAACCTCGAAACTGGAAATATCTCAGGTGCTTCATACATCCGCTAGAAATTGTCTTAAATTATAGACCCGTGTGTTTATTTATGATGAATTCAACAACGCTGGCGGTAGCTCAAACTGTGGCTTGTGAGCCGTATGCGGCTGCATATCAGTGAGTCCATCTTTCGCGAAATGATTAAACATAAGAAATTTGCCCAATCCAGGTCTGTTCGCGGCACCCGAACTCCTGAAAATTGTTGCATATATGGCTCCGATTTTCGGTAAGTTTGGCCACCCGTGATATATAGCATCCAATGACATGATGATTCGTCCATGATATGTATGCCGTGTCCGTCTTGTAGTGCACTCAGTTTCACCCGCTATTTCACAACATGTTTCGGCAACATAGTGCCATCATCAGGTGCTCCATTTACGTTAATCTGTTGCATTGCTTGCCATTATGTCATTGTAAAATTATTTAAAAATATTTTAAATTTTCGTCAGTTATAATAAATTTTTATACACTAAAATCTTGTTAAGAAATTCATCTTATATGTCCCGCAGCCAAAAAGGGAACACACATCAAGAGACACGATATACACGGAGTATAAGAGGAGCGACTCCCATAGTGGAGCAACCATGCGCGGGTTTGAATTGGGACATATAAGATGAATATTAACAAGATTTTAGTGTACAAAAATTTACTATAATTGACGAATATTTTAATAATTTTACAATGACATAATGGCAAGCAATGCAATAGATTAACGTAAATGGAGCACCTGATGATGGCCCTATGTTGCCGAAACATGTTGTGAAATAACAGGTAAAATTGAGTGCACTACAAGACGGACAAGGCATACATATCATGGACGAAAATCAGTGCAACAGGACGTTAAAATACAACGACATGATGATCAGTGATTAACGTAGTGAGTAGGATGTAGATAAAGGGGCAGTTGCATAATTTAAGTTACTATCCCAGAATTTTCTTGGAGGAGCTGAGGAAATTCACAAAAATATGTGAGAATGGCTCATCTCCCGGCCGAGATGTTACACTGGGAAATAGAATTGTTACCCATTGTAGGACGGCTTCCAGGGTTTCGTGTGATTATCCGACTGCTTACATGAAGATATTCGTAGAAGGTCTCGCTCTTCACGTTACAAGGCTGGTCTATCTGTTCGTTATTCGGGCTGCATTTTTTTATAGTTTTCCCTTATTTTAGCAGAATAAACCTTGGATAGTAGCAGCGGTTACAAAGAACCCACGCGGTGGCGTGGCTGGTTGAGGAACTATGCTACAAGTCGGAAGGTCTCGGGTTCGAGTCCCAATGAGGTGGATTTTTTTACGATTGACTAAATCCTTCCACCCGCACTATAGTCCTGTGATCGACTCAACCTCTAACAGAAATGAGCACCAGGAATCTTCCTGTGGTTAAAGGGCGTCTGGCCCATAAGGCTGACAACCTGACCGCCATCAGTGAGCTTATTGTCTAGAAAATGTGGGAGTCTCGACGTCTCACAATCCTATGGGCTTCAACGGCCTGTTACAGGGATAACTTAGCATCAATAGGTGCCCGTACCAACTTCCTTGGGCTTATGCAATAAATTATACGAGGTAGCAGCATCGAAGTGTGTTCATTCATTCATTTCATTCATTCATTTATTGTATATTCCATAAATCCATATACATAGATATAGAACCAGTCACATAGTTAATATACTACAATACAATTATAAATATATATGTACAGCTTATAATCATTATAATAGATAAAAAACATGTGTTAAATTTACAGTCTTACATCACTATACATAAAATTATGCAATATTAAAATTGTTTATGTTATTATCCTTATTTCTAGGCAAATTTGTTACTAAACAATTCATCACATGTATAAAAAGAGTTTTGCAATAAAAATGTTGTCAACTGAATTTTAAAAATTTTTAAGTAATTAGACATAGATTTGATTTTTGGTGGCAAATGATTAAAGATCTTTACCCCCATGTAACATATTCCTTTTTGGAATTGTGTTAGACTAGTTTGCGGATAATGCAGATCACAGATAGATCTACTACTACAATTATGCATTTGTGAGTTGAATGTGAATAATTCCTTATTTACTATAACAAACAGGGAAATCGACAATATATGTTGAGCTTGTAGTGGGAGGATATCCAATTCTTGAAACAAACTACGACACGATGTTCTCTTTGTTGTATTTGTTATAATCTTAATTATCCTTTTCTGCATCCTAAACACTTTTATACTATGCGGGGAGTTACCCCAGAATATTAATCCATACATTATTATTGAATGTTCATAGGAAAAATACATCATTTTTAATGTCTCCAGTGGTAAAAAGGATTTAACTGATCGGATTGCAAAACAGGATCTGTTTAACTTATCAATTACTGCATCAATATGACTTTCCCACGTTAAAAAATTTTCAATTTTTAATCCCAGAAATGATATATTAGAAATACTTGGAATTTGATTGTTTAAATAACTAACTTGAACATTTAAGTTTTTACTGTTTTTAGTTCTAAACTGTAGAAAATAAGTTTTTTCATAATTTATTACTAGCTCATTTTTCTTAAACCATTCATTTATCATCTCAAATAATTTATTTATTCTAATTTTAAATGTCGCAGGATTCTTATCAAAGATAAGGATACTTGTATCGTCTGCAAATAATATTGGTTTGGATAGGTCAGATATAATTTTTGGTAAGTCATTTACATATAGTAAAAAGAGCACTGGGCCTAATACAGAGCCCTGAGGCACTCCGCACTGTACTTCTTTCCATTCAGAACAACATTTACTCCCATTTTCATACAAAATTACTCTCTGGTATCTTCCTCTCAAATAGGATATCATAAGTTTCTGAGAAGCTCCTTCAATTCCATAAAAGTCCATTTTTGATAGCAACATATCATGATTTACTCGGTCAAAAGCCTTACTCAGATCACAAAAAAATCCACCCGCTATATATTTGTTGTTTAAAGCCCTATAAATATTCTCCATTAGATTATAAGTAGCTAATGTAGTTGAAGAGTTTTTTCTAAAGCCGAATTGCACCTGCGTAAGCAGGTTATGTGTTATTTTCTAACTTTGGAGTGTATAATAATTATGATGAGAATCTAAAATGTTCGTATACAGTCTGAGCTGGTCTGCAATCTATTAGTCGTTTTCAAACGTTCACGCAAAAGCGCTAATTGTCTGTGAAACATGGCTGCTCCACGGTTACCCTTGATATGTTAGCTGATAATCTTTAATCCGTGCTCGCCACTCTATGTAACTAGAATGGATATAATTGGTGTTCTCCTCCACTTCCTGTTATTTGAATGAGCGGACTTGGCTTCAAATATTGGTATCCTGCTCTAATCATTGTGACTTCTTAGAGCGATAACAGAAATATACAGTTACGAGTACATTGATCGTTATGGATAATTTCGAAACTCCACAAACGGTGAGACTGAGAAGTGCTTTGCAGGATGATAAACCATTGATCCCGGAGTCGCCTTTAATGCGCACAATTGGTTATGGTACAGGTAATTTCGTATTTCTATGAACATTTCAAATAAGATCACATAACAGAAAAATGACCCATGTTCTCTTACTCTATATTGCTTTCAGGACAATACTTGAAGCATGATAAAGGTAACGTTGTCCCTGTGTTTAACTAATTAAACACTACGCCACGAGGGCTTATGGGAGAGTGAATGTATAGATCCACTGAAGCATGGTGTATGAAAACAATGTAGTTCATCCCGTGTAAAGATTTGATAACGTATCATGTATGTATTTTAACCTGTAAGTGTTTAAGGTATAACTGATTTAATTCTGAGTAAGATAAAGGTGTCGAAATTTGTGTGTGAAGTATAGTCTAGTTCCACCTTCATTTCTTAATTGTCTCAGTAAATGAGTTCATAATCCGTAACTAATTTTACAGGGTCATACACCATTTTTTACTTGAAAGGCTGTTGTACTTGGAGGTTCAACACCACGAATAACAAAAACTCACCTTTGGACGTGATCCTTAGCCCTATTACCTCAAAACCTGACACCATATGTGTCTAAGATGCATCTTACATCTGCTTTTCCTGGCATAAAATTAATAGGGTTCTACCCCTTGTATTGTAGTAAAATTTCATTTAAATTTTAAGGAAAACTTGGCTGGTGCTGTTTTAAATGAAATGGGCATGTGGAACAGGATGTAACAGTACACTCTAGACTTGTATCAAGATTCTCAGGTGGGTCACTGGCTATACCAACAGGTCTTCTGTGGCTTTCCTCTGTCCCTCCAAAAAATCGCTGTGATAGTCCATTGATTAGGCCTCACTCCCTTCCAAATTGTTTCCAGTTCATTATTCAGCAGTCCTAGGTATTATGAAATAAAGAAAAATGAAATTTTACTCTTCAGTTTTCTTCTGTCTTCCAAATAACCAGTTTCATTCAGGTTTGCTGACCAATATCCTGTACACATTCTTTGCCTCCCCCTTCCGTCATACTTGCATGCCCAGCCCATCCTACCCTCCTTAATTTCTTGATTTAACCACCCTAACATCACGTGCCCTGTATAAATTATAAAGTTTCTTGCTATGTAATACCCTAAACTGCCCATTTGCTGCATCCTTTTAGATACAAATATTTAACTGAATACTTTGTTTTCAGACGCTTATAATTTATGTTTCTCTCTCAGAGCAAGGGACCACAGAATACAACTGGCACATATGTGTGTGTGTGGGGTTGGGGGGGCCCCTAGAGTTGTAAGCAGCAGGTTCTTCTGTACTGTGGATATCTATTTATGAAGCTCCATGGCATATTTTATCTAATTCTATTTGAACCTCAGTTCTCATGGGAGGGTAACAGTTTTCAGATTGAATAATAGCAGGCATATCCAGAGTTTATTGTATCCCTAATTTTATGATGAAATTTATCTTTTCTGATAGGGGCAAGTGTGTACAGACTGAAACATTCCCCAAAGGTTGGTATGTGTCGGTCCCCTTGGGCAGTCAAGAAGGTATGTCGCCCTAACCTGGCAGCTGGCGTGCGTTTAGACAAATATGCACTGAGACTCAAGGAGGAGGCCGATATCTTGAAGAAGTTAAACCATCCAAACATCGTGGGCTTTCGTGCATTTGTTAAGGGTGAAGATGGACGAGACTGCCTTGCAATGGAAGAGTGTGACGCTTCTGTTGGCGATCTTATTGGGATTCGTTCTGAAGATGGACTGGGCCCATTCCCAGCTGAGAAGATTCTGAAAGTTGCTCTGGATATTTCCAAGGCACTGCATTACTTGCACACAGAGTGCCGTCTTCTGCATGGTGATCTCAAGTCTCTGAATGTACTTGTAAATGGTGTGTATATTTACAAATATCATTCTGTGATGGATAACTGTTTGCCCTGGAATATTCTGTATTTTGTTGAACCTTCATTGCATTTGATGAAGTAGAATGAAGTAAAATTAAAATTTCTCTGCTGTCTCCAATGTAAACCTTTTCTGAAACATGTCTGAACAGACATCATACCTTGAATATGTGAACTTATGGAATGAAAGTCCTTTGTGTTCAGGGAGATACCTGGTGTGACATTATGTAATGATGTAAAAGTGTACATCACTATCTGATGACCTGCCCTCGGTTGTATTTCAGACACAATAATTGATTATAGTGAGTAACTAATTTCTTGAGGTTTTCATGATGGGGATTGTCCAGCTTACGGTCTCCTGAGTTCTGACATTGTGTAGCTTTGTGGGTTGATACAGACATTTCAGAGGAATATGCTGCCTCTTTCTTCATGGTTGAAAGAGTTTTTGTGGTTTAAAGCTTTATTCTGATCTCACAGGTGATTTTGAAGTAGCAAAACTGTGTGACTTTGGTGCTTCGGTACCGCTGAAGGCAAACGGTGAAATGGATACTGATACGGAGTTGGAATATGTAGGAACTGCCCCCTGGTGTGCCCCAGAAGTGTTGTGTAATGATGGACTGACTCCTATTACTGCCAAAACTGATATATTTTCATTTGGCCTCATACTGTGGGAGATGATTACACTTAGAATTCCACATTTTGATGAGTCTCTGATAGAAGATGCTGACGAATCTGGGAGCAGTGCGTCTGATGTGGGATATGGTAAGTTTGGGCTACATGAAGAAGTCTGTTTAAACTTGATTATGTGTACTCTTTGAAGGCTGAGATTCATGTAAACGAGATAATGTGTACTCTTTGAAGGCTGAGATTCATGTAAATGATGTTTAAAAATTCAGTTTGTACCACACTGGAAACACATCAAGTCTCCTCTATAAAGCCAAACTGGTTAATGTTGTTTGGGGAAATGATTGTTGTTTACTGTGAGAATCATGGGGAACACAGAAATACACTGTGTGGGCAGAATGCAAAGACTTTAAATATAAGAATTCAGTCTGTACCTCACAGGAAACACATTACATCTCTGCAACAAAGCCCAACTGGTTAGTGCTGTTTGGGGAAACAGTCTCTGTTTATGGTGAGAATCATATGGATACACTGTGTGGGCTGAATACAGAGATTATAAATGTTAAAGCAGTGGTACATATTGAAGAAAGCAGTCTTCTGGGATTTGGCACCGTGTATATGTGGTGTTAACCGACGTTTCGGAGGAACGTATCGCCTCCATCTTCAGGGTAGAAGAAAAAATATATAAGAATCTGCAAGCAAAGAGACCGTGAGAACCGGTAAAAGCAGACTGCTTTTTTATCAAGTCTTATTTGAACAATAGATACCAAAAGGTAGTATTAAATAATAGGACAACCTATAATACCACCTTTTCTGATTGGGAGATCATCAAATATGGTGTCCCACAAGGCTCTATATTAGGTCCTTTATTTTTCTTATTGTATATTAATGACTTACCCAAAGTAATAACAAATAATGCGAAGATTATTTTATTCGCTGACGATACTAGTATCATAATATCCGATTCGAGCCCTCATAATTTGGAAATTAATATGAATAAACAATTCTTAGCCATAAACAAATGGTTTGAAGCTAACCTGCTATCCTTAAATTTTAATAAAACCCACCATCTCCTGTTCAGGACTAAAAATAGTTTGGTAACAGACATAAGCATATATCATCAAAATAAGAATATCACTAATGTGCCAAATATTAAGTTTCTAGGTATTTATATTGATGAAACATTATCATGGAAGTCTCATATTGATAAATTAGTAATCAAAATGAGTGCAGCTTGCTACGCAATTAGAACTGTAAGAGTTCTCATGTCACAGGAAACCCTAAGGATGATCTGCTTTGCCTGTGTGCATACTATCATGGATAATGGGATAATTTTCTGGGGTAGCTCAGCAACTAGTATAAATGTTTTCAGAATGCAAAAGCGGATCATTAGAACTATTATGAATGTAAGAACTAGAGACTCATGTAGGGAACTATTCAAGAACCTAAAAATATTACCAATG